ACCCCCCGAGCCATCCCCGATAACCGTACCATCAACCCCTGAGCCTGCCCCCGCCGTGAGCCCACGTCCCCCTGTATCACTACCGACCCCACACCGAATTATGACCCCAATCTCCACACCCAGTGCCCTCCAGGATAATCAACCCATCCAAGAAACCCACTCAACAGACCCCAATCCTACCGAATCACACCCGACTATCCCTGAAACCCCTGCCCCTTCTTCCCCCGGGACCGACACCATCACCGACGACAACCCCAAACTGTTCACTATTACCCTCAATGACCCAACCAACCCCGATTATATCGATTGCGAAGATTTCCTCACCCTCACCGTTGACCAACCCCTAGAGAACCGTAAATTCGTTGAAATGAAATTAGGAAAACGTTCGCTTCGCACCCTGATCGACTCGGGCGCGAATCGATCATTTATTAGCACCAATGCTGGCGTGGACCTTGATAAGTACGCCATCGCCACCGGAGAAGAAGTTGTTCTCGGAAACGGCGAAACAGTCCCACTAGCCGGCTGTGCTATCATAAGACTAGCCTATTCCGACCGAGTTCAACTCATTCCCTTCAGATTATCAAACGCCCTTGCATTCGATTGCATTCTAGGAATGGATGCTCTCAACTCGTTAGAATTTACCCTTGAATGCAGCGACACGCACACCCCCGATAGCCACCCCCTCGAGCTCACGGCGCAACCCATTAGTGTATGGCATACTTCAGACGGTGAAGGCCCCCCACGGCAACCCCTTAATTTAGCCAATCCTCCCCCCTGTGATTTAGCACAATTGGCAGTCGTCCCCGAAGGCCAGTTAAAAACCCTCCGCGAAGAATTCAAGAGTTGGATAAATCCCGCCCCCGAAATTGCCTCCGTTTGCCCCTTACTCACGATGCACATAGACACCCAAGATCATCCCCCTATCCGTGGCGCGACGCGTAGATATGCCCCCCATATTTTAAAAACCGCACAAGAAAAAGCCTCCCAATTTTTAAAACAAGGGATAATCGAACCCTCCCAGAGCGATTGGTGTAGCTGGCCGGTGCTAGTTAAAAAACCCGACAATAGCTACCGATTATGTATAGACTACCGCCCCCTTAACGCCGTGACCAAGCACCTCGCCCTCCCCATGCAAAGTCTAGAAGATTTTCTCGATTGTGCCCACGGCGCGGTGTACGTCTCCAAAATTGACGTAAGTCAGGCGTTCCACCATATTCCCCTAGATGACGACAGAAAAGAGAAAACTGCTTTCGCCATCCCTGGACTACCCCCCGGACTATTTCAATATAAACGGATGCCCTTCGGACTGAAAAACGGCCCCGCGATGTTTCAATTACTGACGGACATGATTATTCCCACCGAATGGTCTAACAACATACGGAAATATGCTGATGATTTTTTGATTTTTACCCGCAACCTCGAAGAACATAAATGGTTTGTGGCCCAGTTAATCAAAAAATTACAAGAAAATAACTTGACAATTAACGTAGACAAATGTGACTTCCTATGCGATCAATTAGAATTTCTCGGATATTTGTTGACCCCCGATGGATTAGAAGCAGACCCAAGTAAAGTTGCCCCTATTACCGATTACCCACCTCCTCGGAATGTAAAGGAGTTGCAGAGATTTCTCGGTATGGTTTGGTGGTATTCTCGATTTTTGCCTTCCCTCTCCGATGACAAAATCCCCTTGCTCGGATTGATACGAAAAAATGTAACGTGGACCTGGACAGACGAACACCAGACCGCATTCGATAAATCAAAAATCTCCCTCACGACTACCCCCGGCCTAGCCCGCCCCGATTTTACCAAACCCTTCACCCTGCAAACGGACGCAAGTGACATGGCGATCGGAGCGGTGTTGAAACAGGAATCGGAATTTGGATCCGATCCTGCCCACCCAAACTCGTCGACTGGACTTGACAGACCGATATATTTCGCTAGTAGAGTCCTGACCCCCGCAGAACGGAACTATACTGTGACAGAACGGGAATGCTTAGCAGTTTTGTGGGCCACGCGTAAGTTTCGCCCCTACATCGAAGGGGGGAAATTTACCGTGATAACAGACCACTCAAGTTTGAAATGGTTATTAAATTTTAAAAATCCCACCGGTCGAGTGGCCCGATGGGCATTAGAATTGCAGAACCACGACATGACCATCGTTCACCGAAAAGGTTCCCTCCACACCGTCCCCGACGCTCTTTCCCGTGTTTGCCCCAATGCCCTCACAGCCCTCGCGTTAATGAATTCCTCCCCTGATAGATGGTACCAGAAAAAGAAACTTGACGTACAAAACAACCCCCACAAGTATCACGACTGGACTGTAGAGGACGACGTGTTATATTTTCTTCGCCCTTGCCACAGATCGACCCCACAGTCCCTGACCTAAACCGTTGGAAAACCGTTCTACCCCCGGGACTGAGACACGAGACGATACGTGACGCCCATGACAGCCCTTACGCAGCCCATGATGGAATCGACAAGACTTATCACCGCGTCGCCCTATATTTTTACTGGCCCGGGATCTATCGCGATGTGGCCAAATTTGTCCGGTCTTGTCCACAATGCCAGCGGTACAAGTCAATTCAAACCAGTCCTAAAGGGTTAATGCGAGAGCGAACGACCTCCGAGCCCTGGTCCACCGTCGCGGGCGACATTATGGGCCCGTTCCCCCCCAGCAGAAATCAATACCTTTACCTTCTCGTGTTAGAAGATGTGTTCACCCGGTACATCGAGATTAAACCCCTTCGGAAAGCCAACGCCAAGAACATCTGGAAACTGTTATGTGAGACAGTGATTTTACGCCGGGGAAAACCACAGTTTTTCCTCAGCGATAACGGAACCGAATTCGTGGAAAAAGAACTCGCGAAACCCCTAGCCCAATTAGGTATTACCCACATCACCACCCCTCCCTATCACCCCCAATCCAACCCCGTCGAGAGAATTAATCGCTCACTCAAACCCATGATAGGTATCTACGCTGGCGAAAATCACCGCGATTGGGACCAGCACCTGCCGGAGCTAGCGTTCGCCCTGAATACATCAATCCATTCTTCCCTTGGGGTCTCACCTGCGTTTCTTAATATGGGTCGCACCCCCCCACCCCCCAGGCCCCTCATCAAATCGCCAAATGGCGCCCCCAATCCCCCTGATCCAACTCCCACCGGTCCGTGGAAAATAAGAATAGAAAAAATGAAGTACTTTTACGATCGCGCTAGGAAATACATGGACGAAGCGTTCGCGAAACAAGCGGGATATTATGACGAAGGCCGACACGATGAAATTTTTCGGGTGGGTCAATTAGTATTGAGAAGGCACCGACCCCTATCACAAGCAGCCCAGCATTTCGCCGCAAAATTAGCCCCAAAATACGACGGCCCCTGTCAAATCGTTAACATAATTTCCTCTAGCCTATATGACCTCGAAGACCCCCGAGGCAATAGGATATACAAAATACATATTACCGACTTGAGACCATACCACCTTCGACCCCTTTCAGATGCCGACCAGTGGAAGAGTCCCCTATGAAAGGGGGATATACTCACTCCCCCTAGGTGAGGAAGCTCCCCCACCATCCTACCCCTCGGCGGCCAGGCGAGCACAGGAGGAGATTCTGGCCCAGGCCAGGTACGAGACCAAGCGGGAGAGATGGAGAGCCCAGGCGGAAGCATCGGAGAAGCCCCAGAAAAAACCGCAGGACCAGCCCCAGGAACCGCCCCAGGAGAAAACCCCCCACAAGCCCCTGACAAAACCCCCCCTAGACGACGACGAGGTCGACCCCTGCGACGTCTCCCTACACCCTCGACAACCCCCTCGACCAACTCCCCATCGCCGCCCGACTCAGACGACGACTTTTAGATGGCCCCCCAGACTCCCAATCGTTTCCTTAAAGACCTCATCAGCACCCTCGCCCTGCTTCCCCTACAGGTCCGCCCAACAGTCCCCACCCGACGCCCAGCCACCACACCCTCAACACCCACCCTTACCCAGACCTCGCCCACCCAGCGCCGCGGTCCTCCCCCCTCGCAGCCCATCATCGTCCTACCCCATTCACCACGCCGATCCTCCTCTGCCCCGGCCCTGATGTCCCTCCGCATCCCTCGACCCAGCTCGTACCAGTCCCCCAACAGCTCCCACCCAAAAACAGTCAGACGACCCCCCGGCTACCCACAAACCTCCCCCATTCCACCACAGTCCCCACTGCTCTTCAGTGGGTGCAGGAGGTGCAACGGCAACCACTGGGCCATGGAATGCCCAGTCATGTTTCGTCGTTGCTACATCTGTGGCCGCTGGGGAGTAGATGTGGCGTCTTGTCCCGACTGCCGACGTCTCCCATAAGACCAACCCCGGACCGACCCTACCTCTCTGTTGCGGACGTACACCCCTTTTTTTGTTGTTTTGATATAAGTTACGTTGTTTGGATGTACCCGCGTGCTATTGATCTATATTTGAATTACTTATATAATAAAAACCACTCTGGATAATCGTGATATCTTGGATATACCCCTCCCCGTAGTGAATGCATGTATGAGCAATTTGTTGGATAAGGAAAGAGTGAGTTCATGGTGCCTGGGATGAGTGCACGGTAGACAAAAATTGTAAATTAATGGAGGACAGCCTTTCTTCCAGCTTTTCACTCCAGGAGTCAGCAGCAGGCAGCCTTGCCGTAGAGTAAAATCAGAAAACGAAAATCGAAAAAGGGATCATATCGTTCAGCATGGGGTTGTGGAAACCCCATGCATTCGCTACCCCCGGGACAGCTGTGACGAGGCACTTTTTTAGCGCCTCCCCCGCCCCCTAATAATGACTTTTCTACTAGGTTTAACTTAGTTTTAAGTATTTCTACCTTAATAAGGCGACGAGGTTATGAAACCTGTCACCGTTGGCTCCCACTTCCCATGACATTCCTTCCCCGTGCCCCACGCTTTCTCCATCACTACACTCATGCTGCGCAACACCATCGACGAGAGAAGGAGAAAACGCCGCTCTCACCCGCCGTTCCCCTCGTCACAATACGCGCCTACGGATGGAAAGAAAACCACCACTCCTACCTCACAGCCCACGTGACCCGGAAGAGCGAAACGGAAAATATGTTAATCGGGCACAACAAATAATTAGGACGAGGACACCCGATGACGAGTGTCCCCGATTGACCCCGATTATCACCGATAATCGGGGAAGAAGAATAACGAGGATGGGAAAGCCATCACTCGTAATACAGCTGCCCCGTGCGTAACAGAGAATTTGAGGAATTTGTGTGAGAGAATTTTGAGGAGAATTTTGAAGTGAATTGTTGTGAGAGAATTTTGAGGAGAATTTTGAGGATAGTTTGAGGAGTCATCTTTGGGAGAGTATTATGGAGTGAAGAGGTGTAGTGGTGTAAGAGTTGGAGGAGAAGCCGTGCCAACGATCCAGGAGTGAGAACGCGGAGGACAAAGGCTATTTGGTCGGAGGAGTTTCCTGTAAATTGTTCGCGGTTGAGGAAAAAGTACTGAAAAATACGCCATCGCCGTGAGTACCCACTCTTGTCTTTCCCAGTCCAACAAACCCTCAAGAACCCCCTGTAATTATCTTTCCCCCCAACGGTGAGCCCTCTCAGTTCTAGTATTGTAATTACGTTTGTTATCATTCAAGCCCCCTAATTAGCGATACTTCTTTATTAGGACCCCTCACTTCTCCCCTTTTTCTTTGTGCAGAGATCGAATCACCCCCTCTCTTTCTAATATGAATTGTGTGTGTGCCGCAAGATGGCTGGCCTTACCCCCCACCCTTGATTAATTAGTAAGAAAAGGCCGTTAATTGTATTGTACGAGTATTATCGTTCACCATTCGAATCGTTATCTAAATATACCTTGACTTATTGACTTATTGACTGTAGACGGTCCTCGGGAGGAGGAGTGCACAATTAGCCTTGTGGCCATTTTGGGCTCTGCCTGGGGCAGCCGTCTAGTCGAGAGGTGTCAGCATCTGTGCCCCACGTGCGAATTCGTAGAGTCCCTTGAAGCCGTCCCTGTCGACGTAAAGATCTTTAAGACAGGTGGTCTCAAAGATATCCAAACGGAGTTCATCAAGACCACTGCATTTTATACTTAGATGGTGGGGGTCCTCCTCCACCAAGCCGCATCTCGGGCAAAGAGGATCATCTCCCTTGCCGATTCTCGCCAGGTAGGCAGCTAACGGCCAGTGTCCCGTAATAAGCCCTAAAAGGGCTCGCAGCTTAACCCTGCTCAAGGACACGAGTTCGTCAGCCAACTTCCTGGAGGGTTCGCGGAGGAGGGATCTGGTGTGTCTGGCGCCCATCCCTGCGTTCCATCTCTCCACCACTCCCCTGTCCGCGCGCTTTTGGATTATTTCCTTTATATAGTCTGAATGAACGCCAACGTGGTCTTCATCCACCGGCGCCATTGTCTGACATCCTTGTTTGGCCAGCATATCGGCTTCTTCATTGCCAAGTATGCCGGCGTCGCCTGGCATCCAGGACACCTTTAATTTGTTGCAGGTTGCAACTTTGTCCATCAACTCTATGCAGTCGTTTACCAACCTGGAGCCACTCTCGTGTTTCAGTAGGGCTCCTAGTGCCCGCCTGCTGTCCGAGTAGATGTGTATCACCTTGCCCTTGTTTTGCCTGGCCAGTATGATTCTGGCGCAGACTCCTAGGGCAGCTAATTCTGTTTGAAGCGGGGTGGCGTGTGGGTCCAGTCCAAGGGCCTTCTCAGCGGAGGGTTGACTGGACCACACTCCTGCTCCCGCTCGGCCGCACCTCTTGGAGCCGTCCGTGTACCAGACCAGCCCGTGAGGTGGCGACCATTTAGAGCCCGCCCAGGCCTGTGTGTTCACAGTGCCTAGGTTGACTTTGAATCTCTTGTGAGGGTGCCATTCAGTTCTGCATGCGTCTCCCCCTTTGGACAGCGCGCCATGGAGCACCCTGTCCTCCGTAAGGAGCGAAGCATGTCCCTTCTTGACTTCCCTCCAGGTGCCAGTTAGTTTCAGCCTAGCTGCTGTTGACAGCGCCACATCTCTTATGATGAGGTGTGGCGGCTGCATGAAGAGTAGCGCCTCCAATGCCGAGGTGGGAGTCGTTCTAAGCGTCTCCGTAATTCCCAGCAGAGCAAGCCTCCCCAGTCTGTCCACCGTTTTCCTGTGGCAGGCCTTGTTCATGGCCGGCCATCAGGCAACAGCTGCATATGTTAGTTGTGGGAGCATGATGGCCGTATAGATCCATCTCATGACCTTGGGTCTTAGCCCCCACGTGATTCCAAACATCCTTCTGCAGGCCCAATATGTTCCTATGACTTTGCTGGTTTGCATGTTGATGTGCTTTTTCCAGCTGAATCTTCTGTCGATCCATAGACCCAGGTACTTTACGTCCTCTGAGAAGCTCAGTACTGTGTTATAGATAGAGGGGGGTTTGACCACCAATTTCCTCTTGTCAGTGTAGCGCACCATCTCGGTCTTTCCGGGGTTAACCTTGAGGCCATTTGATGTGCACCATCGCTGTACATGGTCTAGTGCCTTTTGCATTTTAAAAGATAGCGTGCCGCCGTCCTTACTGGACACAAGCAGCGCTACGTCGTCTGCATAGCCTACCGCCTCCACCCCTAGCTCTTCTAGCCCAGCCAGGAGCC